GCAGCTGTGACCCAGATCCAGAGAAGGGGGTTAAATTAGCAATTGAAAAGGGGGGGAGAGAACCAAAAAGGCCACTTGGCTCACAGTTCAGTAGGGGATTCCCCACCCTCACCCCATCTCAGTGTAGGGGGACAAATGTTTAATCCCTGAAGCATTTCTCACAGAAAGGTTTGGGTAGTGAATGATGTGAAAGACCTCCCCTTGACAGCCTCATAAGCCATTGCATGTCAGAGCAGAGTCTACTTAGTAGACCATGGTGGGCTTTATAGGCAAACCAGAATTTGAAAATGCTACTTCTGAGGAAACGTTAAGTGGTGGTGGTGGTGCCATGTTGCAGTGTAGGAGTAATTAGATAGCTAGGGCCAGATCAGAGGAATTATGTGGCTTGGGATCCAGAAAACACAGGGTCTTCTTCTCTTGGAGCTGTGGCCTCCTCCTGCAAACCCTTCAATGTGCTTGTTGGGCAGTGGGTAAACTGAACTATTTCAGACAAGACTCTGCTCACAGCCTGAGTTCAATCCCGACAGGATCCGGTAGCCGGCTCAAGGTTGACACTGTCTTCCATCCTTCCACGGTCAGTAAACGGAGTACTTAGCTGGTCAATATGACCAGATAGGCGGGGTATAAATTTAATAAATTGGTCAGTAAACGGAGTACTTAGCTTCCTGGGGGCAATGCGTAATCTATATAATCAAATTGGAATTGTTATAAACTGCTCAGAGAGCTTTAAGCACCATAGGATGATATGTAACTAGCATCCTTTGCTTTTGCTTTGGTCCTAAGGTTCCTAAGATTTCACACTCCTTCAGTGGACAAGATCTGGAAGCACTTTCACGCCCTGTCTCAGATTTTATTTGGAAAAATAACTGAGTTTTTGTTTGTTTTGCTATATGCCCAGAACTAGTTGACATTTTTTGGTCAAAGGATGGAGGCCCGGTATCACATCCCTGCTTCAGGTCTGTAGGGTTACAAACAAACAAGTTGCCAATAAGTCTCAAGTTCTTCATCCACTAGGAAACATTGCTTTTTGAGAGGCTGTCCTGAACTTATGACAGTGTTTAGGAAAAGGCAAGCACAAAATAATGTGGCCCCTCTCAACACAGCCCCCTGAAATCATATGTTTTAAGGTCAGTTGGTACTCTGTATGGGCAAAACTAGGGAGAGGGGACAACAAGTTAAAAATGGAAGTTTCTCTAATTAATGAGTTGCATTATTATGTAGTGTGACTTAAATGCCAAGGAGAAGTATGTATTATTCCAAACACTCATCTGTTTTATCATCTCTTGCAGACAATACTTTTTGTTCAGACACAATGTGAGCTGAGCCATCCCACTTCAGCTCCTTGTACGAAATCCTTCTCACAAGGCTCAGGCTCAAAGAAAAATTAGAAGAAATGTCACAGAGGGAAGGATGGGCTTCCAGCGGTATGTGCTGCAGCACTTGGAAGGGTTTGGCCCCTTGTGTTGTCGTATGATGGTTACCTGTTTGTTTCTGGCCTCAATGGAAGAGGCTGGTATTAGCCTTGAATGCTCTAAACCAGAGGTCATCAACCCCCGGTCTGTGGCCTGAGCCAGACTGGCCCGCAAAGACAGGACTCCCGCCCCCCCGCGCACTCCCCTCCCCACAGCTGCTTTGTGCTGGCCCATGAAGACAGGACTCCCGCCTCCCCGCACGCACTCCCCTCCCCTCCCCACAGCTGCTTTGTGCACGCATGCGTGCCAGTGCCAGCGCTCTCCCACCCCTTCATGCATGCGCCCAAGTGCCCACGCAAAGGAGTGGGTGGGCAGGCGGGCAGGTGCTCCTGTGCATGCACAAAGGGGTGTGCAAAGGAGTGGGTGGGCAGGCAGGCAGGTAGGTGCTCCTGTGCATGCGCAAAGGGGTGGGGGAGCACTCACACTGATGGGCACATGGACACTCCCCCATCGCTTCACGCATGTGCCTGAGAGAGAGAGAGAGAGAGAGAGAGAGAGAGAGAGAGAGAGAGAGCACCTGAGCATGTGTGTGTGTGTGCCCTACCTTCCTAAGAGGCTCAGCTGGTCCGGGGTCCCAGAAAGGTTGGGGACCGCTGCTCTAAACCATTTGGGACCAGGTTTTAAAGACCACCATGCCAGTGTGAACTTGCCCAACCTTAAACACTGCCATTCAAACTCTCACGAATCAGATTGGTGAGAATGGTTAGTATCAGGGACAGGGCCTTTTTGTGCTGGCCCCACATTTTTTAAATGCTGTCCTCTGGGAAACGCATGTTCTCTCTCCTTTTGGGATCTCTTGAAGGTTTTTCAACATTTACATAGCAACCCTATGTGCAACCGGAAAGGGTAAAGGATTTCTTGCTATATTCCAAGCCTTGCCAGCTTACACTGATAAAACAGTTTATCAGTTTGGGAGTAATTAGATAGCCAGCTTCAGATTAGTCCAATTGACAGGCCCAACTCAGAGGAGTGGTGTGGCTTAGGATAACCAGAAAACACACAGACATCTTCTGGCAAGATCGCCACCATCATCACCACCATTTTAGAACTGTAGAGCTTGAAGGGAGCTTGTGGATCAAGTAATCTTATTTCTATCCTTAGCCTTACTTAAAAGCACAGTGCAATAACATTAACAAAATATAGAAAGATTATGCTTATCCAGGTATAATTTTATTTACCACTGCTATCGTATATTTATCGAATATCGGCTGTCTTTATGGTTTGACTGTTTCTTTTGTCTTTGAAAATGTTTTGTAATTTGGTGTGTGAAGCCTTTGGCTCTCAGAAGTAGCCCGAAAAGCCCAGTACAATGTCTGAAATCCAGGAGTAAGTCCATTGAATCAGTGGGGATTGGGAAAGTCAATTCCTCCATAAATCCCGTTTGATTAAATGGACCTCCTCTACTTGAAATTTACTAATGGATTTCAGCCAATTAGAAAAATAGTTTATTCCCTAGAAATTAAATGCTGTACAGTAGTAGATACTATTATCATACTAGATTTGGTCTTTCCAGCAATTACGGAATTGTGCTGTAACATTGCTTTCTTGAATAGATTAATAAAAATATATTGGTAATAGCTGCACATTATTGTAGATAACACTTTGAGGGAAAACGTGTGCGCCAGCATGTGAGGCATATTTAAATGGATTATTTGTCATTCCTTGTGCATCGGAGCAGGAGCTGCGCAGGCAGGAGGAGTAAGCAGAGGTAATGCTTATAGGAGACGGGTCGTTTTGAATTACATAACATGAACGATTTTCAGTAACTGAGCATCAGAAAAGCAAATCACTGTTCTGATACCGTTCCACAGAGCTTTCTCAAACAGACATGGGTAAACAGAGTAGGGCTTGAATCCGCTAAAAAGCTTGTTCAAACACATTTGTCTATGATGAAGTAAATGAGAGGGAGAGCTGCCCATGGCAGAAGGTCCTTTCAGTTCATCAATTGAAACCCTCCATTTCAGACTCCCACACTATTCTGTTAAATGCACAAAGACCCAACCAGTTGTGCTGTAAAGCACCTGGAGGCCACATGTACCACAGATGTGTGCAAGTCTCGCTCCCCCTGGCTTCACTTTCATCATGTGAATGGGACAGTAGAACCAGATTTTTGTCACGTGCCGGTTCTGACAGGGACCCTTCACGGATAAAGCCGCCCCCCACCCCGCTGCCTCTCAGACTCTGGAGAGGGCAGGCCCCTCGTCATGTGTGGAGAACACACATTTTAGTAATTCCTGCACGAGGAATAATACCCTGTTTGTATAGTGAGCAGCAACACCCCTCAGACCCGTCATATTTTAATTATAGAAGCACCGAGGTTATTTAATTAGACTCTACATTGAGCAGTATACTGTACAGTTTTTAATATTTCCTGAATCCTCCCTTTCCTTCAAGCCCTTGGCAGAGACCTGCCTCCCCTTTTTTACTGTACTTAGGTAGTGAGAGAACTAGATCAATAAGAAATAAATGAACTAGACAAAATGTCTTAAACATACCGTATTTTGGATGTGGTAATGGCTATGTCTGAACAAAGTATAGACCTGTTGAGGATTCTCATTTACAAGTAAGGAGTATACGTACTGCATGCTGTTGCATGTTGTCCCCAATATCCCTGTTTAGCTTCTCTTCCAAGTCATCTAACCAGTTATAGAAAGCAGAATATTCAGAGATGGGTTCCTTCCTAGTTTCTCTCTCTCTCCTAACATGTCAGAGCCTCTAGCCTGGGTTTGTAGCCACCTCACGATTCCATCCATTGTGTTTTCCTGCCCTTTCCTTCATGTTGTTGCTGATAGGGACAGGAAAACTAATATTATGGTATCCAAGCCCTGTGTAAGACATCCTCTCAGGGGAGAGTGATAAACCTCTACATGGATTTCAACAGCCCTCTTATGGGACATGGCAAAAGCTTTTTGCGCTGTGGGATTTTATTCCTCAGAAGAACATTTCCAAGCATCTTATACAAAGAAAAAAACTTATTTAGGAACAATGACCCCAACAATCACTTTAAAAGCCCTTATTGTCAGTTGTCTTTTTGTTTAAAGTAAGAGAGTGGCTGAAGTGATGAACCTGGTCATAGAGGCCAATTACAACTTCAGACCAAACGCAGAAGTTAAATGGCTTATCGGGGGATCAATTATTCATATATTTCTCCTGGGCTTTATGGCAACAGCAGTTAATCAGATGTAATGATTACGAATGTCCAGTCTTGGATGAAATGAGCTGTGCAAAAAATGAAAGCAAACATGGCCCAACTGTTCATACGCTGGTTACATAAGAGACATTTTTAGTACCACACACTTTTCCTCACAATTTTGCTTTAGATCAGCATGTCCTTAAGTTCCCTTCGTCCAATGAAAATGACAAACAGAAAAATCCTACTTGTTTCTTATCCAGGAGGCTCCAAGAGTCACATGCTTTAGGAGCTGACAATATAAAAGCAAAAATCAACCATTATATGCCACTCTCATCTTCTTGACAAGCCCCCCGCCCCTTTTTCCTTGGTCTCCACATAGTTCTTGGCTTGTAGAGATGGATCTGCTCCATAGCAATGGCGTGCTGATCATCCAACATTTGCAGAAAGATTACAGGTCTTACCAGAGCTTTTTAAATTTCATGTCACATGTTGGAGATCCTCGGAATATTTTTTCTATTTATTTCCCTCTTTGGTTCCAGCTGAACCGAGTGGTTGGAACAAAAATGATTTGGGTTGCAGTGGTTGGTGATTGGCTCAATCTAATCTTCAAATGGTAAGGTGGCTGTTGTGAGTGTTGTTGTTGTTGTTGTTGCTGCTGCTGCTATTGTTATTGGTTCCTTTGGAACCTTCAAGAAATACAGGATTAATGTTCTTGGGAGATAAGAAAACTTCCAGTGATTGTTAACTGTTGCTTTAATACATAACTTTGAAGAGCTGCCCTTTTATCCTTTTAAGCAGAACACGGAAAAAATCAGTGTTAGCAAACAGTTGATAAATGTCTTTGTGTATTCACTGATATTTTCTTTCCTGGCAGGATTTTATTTGGTCATCGTCCATATTGGTGGGTCCAAGAAACAATGATTTATCCAAACCAAACGAGCCCATGTCTTGAACAGTTCCCCATCACGTGTGAAACAGGTCCAGGTAGGCAATTAGTTACCCATGGCCTATATATTCCCTTTATATGTTTATAATGTCCAGCTCCTGAAGTGCAGTAGGGCTGGAAGAACATTTCAATTCACCTCCTACTCATGAATATGTATGTATGTATGTATGTATGTATGTATGTATGTATGTATGTATGTATGTATGTATGTATGTATGCATGCATGCATGCATGCATGCATGCATGTATCCATCCATCCATCCATCCATCCATCCATCCATCCATCCATCCATCCATCCATTATTTGAATTTATATCCCGCACCATCTGGCAACCAGGCCACTCTGGGCGGCTAACCACAATATAAGGCATAATATTAGAAAGACGATAAAAATAAATTAATACATAACAAACAGGGAAATTAAAACAGATTCATTCATTTCATTTCATTTTATTTTACAACATATAGAAGCACATGACTAAAATGCAATCAACAGAACAAAGAATAAAAATAATAAAAATGTGAATTAATAATACCATCAAAGCATAAAAATACATTAACACAAAACATTCAAAACATTACGGATAATGTAGTCTCACCCTCTTTATAGAGGGCAAAAGATCCAGCAAGTGTGTTGCTATGGTGGGGGGAAGAGTTGAGTGAGCCTGATGAGGTATATTAATAGCTTCACTGGTGAGGAGTAAACCTGAAAGGCCTAATTTGGTGATGGACGTCTGTGGCAGAATCCCAAAATCCTGAAGCATGTGGAGGCTCTGCTCCCCCCCCCCATGGTAGACCCTGAGAATCCCCAAAACTTTATCTGAACAGCCAGGAAAGCTTCTGGAGCCCACTTTCAGGTGGTACAGAGGGCAACACAGAGGGAAGGGAAGGTAAGAATTTTCCATTGAGGACACCAGTGAAACATTGGCTTTAGTCACAGAAAATGCAAACTCTTCCCTAATAAAACAACAGGATTCAATTGTGTCGTGACAATATTTGCTTCACCGACTTGGTCTGTGAGGAAAGATTTTAAAAAAGAAGAATGATGTAGACATTCCAGAAATGTACTCACCACTTTTCACAGATGATATAGATTCTGTATTATAGATTCTGGAAGAAGGAATGAGAGCAGAAATGAATGAATGGAAGTACATTTTGTACCTTTGTCAAGGAAGAAAAGGGTGGGTCTGAGGCTCCTGGAATGGCCAGTCTGCAAGCTACAGAATTATGGCTCAGGATGGGCTTTAGATATGGAAAAGAATACAGCACCTTAGGTTTTAAAGAGATTGTATCCATTTTCCTCTCTCTCTCTCGGGTCTGAGGCTCCTGGAATGGCCAGTCTGCAAGCTACAGAATTATGGCTCAGGATGGGCTTTAGATATGGAAAAGAATACAGCACCTTAGGTTTTAAAAAGATTGTATCCATTTTCCTCTCTCTCAAGTGATGTGATGAGAGAGGGCACCATATGGCAGTTGAAACAGCCAGAAGGTGAATGATACTGTTCTAATGGTGGAAGCATGTGCAAGTCGTGCTCAGCAAGCATGGGGATTAGGAATGAGATGAATAAACATCATGCAGCCAACGTGAGGGGATATGAAAATGCTAGCTTTGATTGTGTGTTAATTGACCTGTTACTTTTGGGACTGGTTTCCTCTGAAGGGAGAAATCTCAGATGTGAGAATTTGGGGCATTCTGCAGGGGACCTAGGAATGCTGTTGGCACTTGATTCCTATGTGCACCTCTGGCGTTTACAGGCTGCCTCTTATTTATTCCTGTTTCTGCCTTCCTGATTCTCACCACAGTCACAATATCCAACTGGATGCTAAAGGGACTGTGTAGTGCTTGTGATGTTCCTGCGTTCCCTCCAGCCGTGGGTTTTCCTCAGAGACGTGTGACTCTGAAATCCAGCTTACAAAGTGGGCTAGCGGGGATCTTCCAAAGACCAATCGTAAAACAAAGCACAACTATATACAAGATGGCAAGACTGGGGAAAACGACATGCTGCGACACACAGATATCTTCCACCACTTAACCCTTGAGAGTGAGGCTTATTACTAAGTGACCTGTGCTGTAACAGCCTTCTGAGTGAAAATTCTTAGTAGCAATAGTTGGGGTTGTGCTGATGGGGTACCTGAAATTACATTGCAAAAGTAAACATATGTGGGATTGAAGGGGGAAGGAAAGCTCCTGGTTAGTAGCTTTGCTGCCTTAGCAAATAGAGTACCTGATTTCATGTTTGTCTTCTAAACTACAGCACAGGGAGACATGCACACATAAAAAAGCAGTGTAAATAAAAGATAGTGGCAGGCATAAAAAAAGAATAGCAAATGAAGTGTGTATGTGTGTGTGTATGTGTGTGTGAGTGAGCGAGTGAGCGAGCGAGCGCGCGAGTGAGCGAGTGAGTGAGCGAGCGAGTGAGAGCTTAGATCCTGTTCCTAATGCTAATGTGACCTAGCCCACTCAAATTCCACATGAGATCTGTGGCATGTTCATATACACAGGTACTCAGTTGATTTGATTCTAAAGTGGAATGCAAAAGATGATCTGCAGCTACCTAAAAGAAAAGAAAAAGATACTTCAATGCACACGTACACCTGCTGAAAATGAAAGCAATGCAAATGACAATCTCTAATAGATTATCTCCCTTCCTTCACTCTGACTGTGCTAAACCGTGAAATGCACTGATCACAGAACAACATAATTTATTTGGTTGATCTGAGCCTTCTCAGGGACTTTTTTGGGATTAAAGTGTTAATTTCATGTTCCAAATGAGATTCACTGGCCCAAGCATTTTTTGAATTTTTCCTTGCTGTTGAAAGGGGAAAGTCAAAACAATATTTGGTGTTTTAGAGAGCATTGATTTGAGTTTTACACCAGTTTGGACTTCTTGCTTTGGATTGGTTTGGAAACTGATAAGTACTCTGGTTTTGTTTTGCATTCCAAATGATTTCTGGACTCAAAGAGCATTCCTTATAGATATTTCTTAGTTGAAGATATCTCTGTAGTGCTGTTTTCAATATTCAAAAGGGAATTGAACATAAACATACCTTAGAGAACATACCAGAGAGCTGGGCTTTTTAAAAGCTGTTCTGACCTTATCAGATCTAGTGGCTCAGGTTCTGCAACTTGTTTTAATTAGCCTGAAGAAGAAATGTTTGGCAAACTGGCGTGTTGTGATGTGGCAAGACTTGTTCTTTGAGAACAAACTATAGATACTGATGGTTGTTGTGGGTTTTTCGGGCTCTTTGGCCGTGTTCTGAAGGTTGTTCTTCCTAACATTTTGCCAGTCTCTGTGGCTGGCATCTTCAGAGGACAGCACTCCAGAGCACAGAAAAACCCACAACAACCATTAGATCCCGGCCGTGAAAGCCTTTGCGAATATATAGACACTGAGCTTTAGGACTAAGGTCTAAGGTCAGTTGTTACTTCCACTTAGAACGGACCACTGGATCAATGAGATGTCCAGAAGCGTTGAATTAGGTCCCATTCAGTCAATGGAACTACTCCAGCTGTGACAAACAATGGGATAAAGGTAAAGGTTCCCCTTGACATTTAGTCCAGTCGTGTCTGACTCTAGGGCACGGTGCTCATCCCT